CGGCGCGGTACCCGGGCCGTACCTGGGTTGACTTGAAATTCTTCCGAGGCGAAGCCCAAAACGAGGAAGAATATCGCATAATGACTGTACTTCACTCACAACAAAAATAAGTTCCCCCCCCCCTCCTCCCCCCATCGATATGAAAATCATCAGAAAAACATCAATTAAATGTAATTAATAAACCAAGAAAAACGAGGCAAAATTGGGAAAAAAACAGACAAATTGTAGGCTTGAATTTATAGTGAGGTACCCCCTTTTCTGACTTTGTGCCGTGTCCCCACACACTTACCGGACAAGTATCCCTGTTGTTCTCCGTGCTGGAGGCGGGCTCGCCGCCCGCGCACAGCTGCGACTCAATGATGCCCCGGGTCAACTTGCCGTCCATCGCGGTGCTGATGGCGCGCCTGCAGCGCTCCAGAGGGATCACGGGAAGGTTCACCTTGAGCAAGCGGTCGCTCAGCTCCTCCGCTGCCGTCCAGTTTCGGAAAAGATCTCGGGTAAAATTAAGACAAGGAAAAAGAATCATAAATTACGTGCTCGCTTTGTGACGTCTTTAACAACGTTTTCCTCACCATCTCCCGTGGCGCCCCAGCCGGTGGCGATGGCACTGCGTCCCAGGGGGTCCGCGTCGAGGTCAGTGTGGAGGCATGCGGGCCTGACGTAGTCGGTGATCTCCGCGGGCCTGAAACGAGTCGCATCACCCCATGTTGAGACCCTGGCCCGGGGCTTGCCCGGGGGCCCGGGGGAGTAGAAGGACCGGTCGCCAGAGGGCTTACCGTGCCAGCCGCAGCAGCGCGATGTCGTGGTAGCGCAGGTGCGAGCGGTAGTCGGGGTGCACGATGATCTCGGCCACCTCGATGAGCTGCGGCCGCGCGTTGGGGGACGGCGCGGCCGTGCGGTTCAGCACTCCCATCAGCGCCCAGCGCACCGGCAGCCTGAGCGGAGTGGAGGTGGAGGTGTCAAAACTATGTAGGCGAGGGCGAGGGGTACTCCGCACATCTTTTTTTCTATCCTCTCGACTCTCCTTATTGTTTCATCTTTTCTTTTTTTGTTTTATATTATTTTCCCCTTTTTGTCTGTTTTTTGTCATGACTTTTTTCCCTGATTTTTATTTTTATTTTTTGGGGACCTCGACCTTGACGCACACTCACTTGAACTGGCTGGAGGCCTGGCAGTGCGCGGCGGTGAGCACGTACTCGGGCGAGACGAGGCTGCCGCCGCACGAGAAGTCGTCGGGCTGCGCGCGCTCGCCGTAGCCCAGCAGCACCATGTGCGGGAACTCCATGGGGTCCACGCGGGTGCCGCCCGAGATGAGCTCGACGCGATAGTGGCAGCGGTCCACCACGTCGTTGCTGCCCAGCATGAGCGCCGGCGAGGGCGCCTCGCTGCAGACGTACTCCACGTACTCCCGGCACTCTGCGGGCATGCACCGAGGGGTCAGTACTAAGTACTTCACTATTAATTGCAAGCGTACACAACTTTTTTCTAAATTTTGCTTATTTTTTAAAATTGCTCCAATTGTTTTCTGATTCTTAAATTGTTTTTTTTTTCTTCTGGTGAGTTTTCTTTGATTTGTATTGATCTGTTTTGAAGGGTGTAGTCCACATTTATTTTTTGACAGTGAAGCACCTCTCGGCGTGCACCCAGTCCGAGTCTAAGTCACAGCAGCTAGCAGGTAACGTGTCAAGTTTTCATTTTACATCAGTAATTAGTTCAATGATAAACGACGCTCTACTCTGCACCCACTCAACGCCTGTGCCGGCCACCGCCAGTACAAATTTGGGTCGCAACTGGGTGGTGCGTGCGTGACGGAGGTCCTATGCCACCCGCCACCCGGCCCCGGGCGCTCAGGGCGGGCCGCCGTCTCCACGCAGCTGCGCGGCGGGTCAGCCTACCCAGCTCACTGCAGGCGCTAACACAGGCGGTGTCGCCTCGGGAAACGCTCATTGTGGGGGACTTAAAAACAGTGAACGGCGTAAGCAAATCACTGATTGACCGGCACTTCAAAGTGTGCAAGAGTGCAGCGGCGCGCAGGCAACTCGTGTGGCGTCAGTGCTCCTGTACACTTGATAATTGCGGTGATTCGAGGTGCATGTAATGACTCCACACGCGTGACGTCTTTCCTGCGTCTTTTCCCACAAAGATGGGGATGTTTGGCTCGACTCGCCGCCCAGACCGAGGCGTCTTCTCGAGCAGAGGAGACTGATCGCCGACATCGGGCGACAAAATGTACATAATTGCAGTGATTTCCCCCTCGATGGCAGGGCGATCCGCGGTGAGTCACACCCCCACTCCGCGCTGCGTTTGGTGGGGACCGGTTGGACTTTCCATTAGCACCTAAGATTGGAGGATTGGAGCGTCTCTGTCGGTAGTACATTGTCGGGTGCGTTCGCCGTCCCCTCCCTCTTTCCCCCACTCGGAGAGGAAATGAGTGCGCGGATAGACTTTCATACAAGGCCTGCTGTGAGTGATAAAAGTGTGGCCCCTTCCCGATAAGGGAGCACTGTCAATCATCACACGCAGTTCAACGAGAACCAGAATAGCATGTAGCTGTACTCGGTGACCTGTACTGCTTACTCTGGCGAGCGGTGGCGCCGGGACGGCGAGGGTCTGGCTGCAGGTGGTGCTGCTGCTGCTGCTGCTGCTGCTGCCGCCGCCTCTGCACCGCGCCCGGGCCGCACGGGGCGTCGTCCGGCTCGCTGCTGGCGCTGCTGGTCATCACGTGGTTGTCCATGGGGCTGGTGTACGGACAGCAGACCTCCGGGATGGTGCTCGCGCCGACGAAGCCGCAGAGCTGTGTGGAGCGGTGCAGGCGAGTGAGCGTGTGCAAGGGTGCCTGCAGGGTGACTCGACGCGCGAGGGGCCTCCCTCGAGGGGTCCTTTACTAGAAATTCAAATGTGCCGGGTGTAACTGTGAATACGCATCAGTGTTGCGGGATTGCAAACTTAGTATGGCCGCAGCAGTCATGGCCCCTTACGGGTGGAAAGGGTAGGCAAACCCGCAACACTGCTGCGTATTCACAGTTACACCCGGTACACCGATTTTTCTGTACTTACTTGTTTTTTTCCTGACTGTCTCTTATACTTTTCTGACTATTTTTATGACTATCTCTTTTTGTTCTTTTTTTTATGGTGTAAACTGATTTATTTTAAAGTGAAGTACTCATGGGGGTAGCTCCGAGGGTAGCTCCCTCGCGCGAGGGACCTCGCTCTCTGTTTCTGTCTCTGTCCGTGAGTGTGACAAGGACAGGAGGAGAGGTAGTACCCAGAGGCAGTACCCACCTGGGGGTACAGCTTCCTCTTGAGCTCCCAGAGAGCGCTGGGACACGCGGTCAGGCTGCGGCACACGCCCGTCGCGTTGCGCGCCAGGTGGAAGCACGGCGAGTCTGCGGAGGGAGAGCACACAACGGGTATGACAATGACAGCACACACCAGTCACAGCATATTTGCATCGTATGGCAACACTACAATAAAAGCGCACTTGCGACGACGACGACGCCGGCGGGTGCGTCTCTGCGTCGGCGGGCCGTTTGCGACCAGGTTGTGTCTTTCTTTTTGCGGTGTATGCGTGCAGGATGTGTCCCCTGTGTGCGGCCTTCGTAATGCCGACGATGTACGGCCTGCGCCTTCGATGCCCCGCCCTGCTCCTCGTTGCATTCGGCTGTCCTGCCTGCCGGTCCGGCGACATCCAATAGAAAGCGCTTTGAGACCGTGCCAAAGGCGTGTGTGTATGCGTGCGTGTGTGTGAGAGTGTAACACGGCGGCGCGTTGGCTGTGTCCAGCTCGCTTTGGCGACACAAACAGCAAACAGTGCGATGCCTTTTCGCGCTGCTTTCTCTGACGTGGTGTTTCTCTGTTGTTCCGGCAGTGCTCCCGCCACCCTACGCATGCCACGGGTCACCCCAGGCACGCTATCGCGATCAACCTCATCACCTACGTGTGCACCCGCTACTCTCTGAACCGAAAGGACCCGCGCCACGGTGGTCACCGTCCGTCCAACCGCCATGCCATCACCCCGATAGGGGGCCTCAACTCCCTCGTAGAGTGCACACCGGATTACCAAGATTGCCAGATTGCTAGACGACCCCGCCTGTGACTAGGCAAAACGCACTACTTGAACCCTGAATGTAGGCAACCAGCCACACACAAACTCAAGGGCCACTCTGTACTCTATAGAGAGTGAGGAGGGAGAGGGGACTTTGCTCTCTGATAGAGACAGTCTATAGGGGACTGTCTAAAAAGCACAACTTTTGGGTCCGACTGCCGTAGATCATCGTAGATTGCCAGGGTGGGGGTGGGTGTACACCAGAATGCCGGAGTTGTGCCCCCCTCGCACCACCCTGCCACTTCAAGTCAGCTACGAAACCACTCCCACTCCGCCCTCCGACCACTCCTAGCTCTTCAGCTCTTGCTTGCTTGCTTGCTACCTACTTGTGTCCGTTCTCTGTCCGGCTCGCCTGCTGACGACCATGGCGGTCGCGGGCTCCAGCCCGGGCAGCGCCAGCAGCAACAGCGGCAGCACGGGCAGCGGCAGATACATATCTGCAGCGCAGGGTACGCTGTGGTTCTTGTTTTCGCGGTCAGCACGTCGACCTCCTCCTCGCCGTCGTCCACTCGGCTCTGCCTGCTCCGCACCCCCGGTACGGGTCCCGCGTCGCGACTGCTATGCTCGGATACTGCTGGTGACGCACGGGCGTGCGTGCGCGGGCGCGGGCGCCTGGGCTCGGCAGGGCAGGCTCGTCCCCGCGCACCGGCCAGGAGGGGCCTCGGCTGTGCTCGGCGGATCCCGCACGATCCCCGCGCTGCCTCGGCTCCGGCTTCGCTTCGGCCGCTTGGGTCCCACTACAGGACTCTGCCAGAGGCACCGGAGGCCCCTGTCGCCATAGGCAGCCCAGCGTACGCCCGGGTCCGAAGGGGGGCCGGCGCGAGACCCGATGGGAGCAGAGCGCAGCAGGGGGGCCGAAACTGCGAGGGGCAGCGCACCGTGTGCGACCCCGCCTGCCACCAGCCGCAATACTTGCTCCTCCCCGAGTGCAGCAGCAGCTCTTCCGGGAAATGGTCTGTATTTCGTACAGGAGCACGTAACGATGCACTCTGCGCCGCGCTGCACCGCGGTCTCCGCCGGGGCCGGGCGGGACTCATTTGAACGTGACTACTAGATCAGCCGAGCCCATCGAGGCGGGCGGGCGGGCCTTCCTGCTTTTGCTTCCCTACGTGCATTACTTAACGGTCCGCTGCAGCAGAGCCCAGCGAGCCCGCCGCCCCGCCGTCGCGCGAAGAAGCCAAAGGTGAGCAGCGGCTGAACTCGCCGCCCGCCTGGCCTTCCCTTCCCGGCCGCGGTGCAAGTACCGGTGCCCCCCCCCCCACCTCCCACCCGCTTGATTAGAATGTGGGAGACTCGGCTGGCCGTGCCGAAAGAGCCTTCAACATCTTTCCCTGTCCAGTAGGTCACAGGCGCGGCTGAAGTGGGGGGGGGGGGAGGAATTCGTCCATCCTGTCGCCTCTGGTGAGTCGCCTGAAAGGTAGTCAATTTGCGCTAAAAAATCCCCTGTGTGTTGGCATGGTAGAGGCAACCGACAGTGCATCGCCCCCCTCTGTGACGAAAAATAAATTCTAAAACTGAAGTTTTTTTTTTCTTGAGAGGGGGGGGGGGTCATCTCTGGTTTCTTACCCACGAGTTGAAGAAAAGAGGTTTCCGGAAAGTAAATGTACAGTACGATCGTGATTTTTTTCACCTACATCCCATGTATGACAAGTTAAAAGTAGGAGATGTTTTGGGCCACAAGAGGGCATCACATCACATCCTGCTCCGTGCCCTATGGCTCAACGAGGGCGCGCGCTCGCTCGCGCGACTGACACTCCTAGGATCGGGAAGATCATTCCGAGAGAACTTCCTCGCAAATAAGATGTGTCGGCGGGAGAAAGAGGGAAGAAGAAGAAGACGCGCCAATAGTTTGGCCTCCTTAGCGTCGCGTCGGCTCATGGACGGGATGCTCTGCTTACTGGGGCGGATTCAAACCAACCACATGGAGGCACGTGGACGCGTTCAGAACCTTCTGGAAAAGGAGCAACAAGGAAAGGATACACCGATACACCCTTCGTGCCCTTCGTTCGCCGGGTCGGCTACATTTGTGGCGCACCCTGCCGGACTTTTCCGGAAGCTTTCAGTCAGCTGCTAGCCGGCCACCGGCCAGCACAAGCCACCGAACGGGACGGGCGGACGGGCGGCGCGGCGACAGTACGTGACGCGAGACAATGTTGACACTACGGCAGCAACCGGGACCGCGTGCGTCTGTGTTCGAGCGAGGCATCTGTAGTGTCGTGGTGTACCGAGCACATTTTGTAGTCAACTCTGCGACTCTCCGTCCACAACTTGCGGTCAGCATGTGCTGCCCGACATTTCCAGCTCGCAAGGTAAGTGGTTATAGGTTAGGGCCCACAGATGGGATTTTTGTTTTACCCCAAATTCCCACTTACTTTGTTTTGTGTCCTCAACTTAAACTTACAACACATGGCTTTTCAATAGTGTATTTCGACTAACGGAGGAATAAGAAGAGCGGGTAGATCATAAAGGTTCGTGATTGGTCGAGCCTTTACCCCCACTAACGGCGTGACGTAGAGGTGGGAAACTCTCGACTAATCGTGAACGTTTCTGTTTTATCCGCTCTTCTTCTTCTTCTTCTTCCGTTAGCCGAAGGACACTATAGGGCCGCATCCCGATAGGAGATCCAAAATGAAGAAAATCGTCTGTGCCGTCGCTTGCGCAGCGCCAAACCAAACATGAGACACCCCCCCCCCCTCCCCCCGTCCGTAGCAAATTCAGACTCGGCGCTAAGGAATAAATCGTTCATCGTCCGTTGTTGCGCTTACACTGTGAAAAATTACTAATAGTTCGAAAAGAAAAGTTGCATCCTGCTAACCTCAATCACTGCCGAAAAGGCATATTTTGCTCGCAGAGAGCGACATTAGTACCCCTAAATTTGCT